GAAATGGTTTTTTTGGAGGATTGAAACGTCAGGAGCGATGCCAGTTCAAAGATCAACCAAGGTGAGTAGAGATTAAATTCCAATCTGATTAGAATCCATCGGGATTTCAGAATAGGTTTCATGACTAAGGCCACTACAATTTTCAAATATTACATTTTAATAACTTATAAGCAATTAACTCAACAACAAGGAGTCGTAAATGTATCATGCCAATTTATGAATGATTGAGTTTTTGGCAAATTGAGTAAATAAAAGTCCCATTTAGTTTATTCAAGAATTATTTAAAGAAACGCGTTTAGCTCCACAAACTGGATATTCTATTCATCAAAGTTTTTGGCAGGGCAAGAAAGTAGATGCCCTATCATTTTAGTTGACGAGATAAATACTATAGGGTTTTCTAACTACAATAAGCATAGAAAGTGAATTTGCGAAATAGTGCTAAACTAGGTGGTTCTTTAGTTATCGGATGTGTTGCAAAGGTGAGCCAGATGGATGCAAAGATATGTGGAAGGTGATCTAAATCAAGAAGCAGCAAAAAAGTTGGCTAAGGCTGATAAGACAGTTTATCTAAGCAAGAGTAGGTTAGAAACCATGAGATAAATTAAAGAAAAAGCAAGGGTTTTTATGCGAATTCTAGCAAAAAGTTGCATTTACTCACACGACCCATTTCACCCATAACAGCAACCGGAGTCATGCCGAGATGAGCCGCCACTTTGTGTTCTACTAGGTAGAATATATATTCATCATAAAGAAGACGAATAAGATGAAAACTGCCAAAACTGGCTGCAGAGCGCAAAGTCAAGTCTCTGATGACCATGGAGCTAAAAAGTGAGTAACGATATTTATGACATGGATTAAACAATAAAAACGGAAAAAAGCATATTTTCATCACTAGCAAAGATAAAGAGTAAATAAGTGTCAGAGAGTTTGAATTGGAACTGGGACAGATTTTCACGAAAAACGTAAACGAGTTCTCGTGTGTATATACATATTAGCAGAAAAAAATTGAGCACAATGTTCTTATTTAATATAGATTGAGCAATAAACAGGCGTGTCCCTAAGTTACATGGCATTTCAACTAATAAAAAGTTGGAGTTTTGTGTAGTCTTTTACTATTTATAAGCTGTGTTTAAGGGTTTTTTATGTTTTTACGTTTCCAGACTTGGTCAATCAACATTTGTAGATTTCGTGGCCAATGTCTACGAAAAGGGTAAGTTTAGTGTTACCTAAAATTTACTAAGACCTTTCAACGTTTTGTGAAATAGAGTTAGATCTAGTTTGATTAAATTGGCTATGTTTACCTGTAGAATGACCATTTGAGAACTAACTGGTGGGCAGCACGTGTGTAGGCTAGGGTGCTTCCTTCGAGTGGCTGCAGGATTCCTGTAACTACTCGATCTAGCCAATTGGCCCACTCCTCAAGACTTGCCTGGCGCTGAAGGATACGTTTAAAATCTTGCTCCAGTTGACTTATAGTTGCATCATTGCACTGACACACCCAAGAAGCCTGCTCCTAAAATCAACGAGAGAATAAAATAAACGGAAAATAATGTTATAAATAATGAGGTTATGGGATTTTTTGTAATCTCTATCGTGCTGGATTTTCTAGGCAACTAAAGAGAAACCATGTGTGAATGACGGTATGTAATTTATGGGGATCATGATAAAATGCTGAATAAGTTTACAATTTTAAATATAGCTCTATCTTAGATAGATATAAAAATAGTCAACGAATATTCCAAATGTAGGATTTGGCTGATAAATAGTGAAATAAGAAAAACAAATATAGAATAAATTGCTAGCTCAGAAATGTAATGAGGAAAAATCGAATAGCTTATAAACCTTGCAATTTAATAACTTAATTCGTGATAACACCTAATTTGAGCGAAGAAGTACAAAAGTATATGTAAAATTTCTTAAGTGAAAAATCTAAATAAAAATTTCAAATGTTGAGTAAAGAATTGCAATCGAATCAAAATACGTATGCATAAGAAATATCTAATACTCTAAAAATGCCTAATCAAGCGTGTCATAAAATATAATCTTGTGATGAATCA